AACTATAAATCAATATAATATAAAATACATAATATATATAATAATAAATATATAAAAATTAAATATAATGGCAGTATGATAGATAGATAGATCTAGTATGTGTGTAACTCGTTTATGTTTCAGATAGAAAAAGACAGGTAGAGATGTAGATTAGTAGAGATGGTAAAGACATAAATAACATGTAGAATATATACCATTATTAAGGACATAGAGAATAAGAAAGAGCATCGGTGAATACGGATTAAGAAACGCAAGATGCAGAAAAAGCAATCGTAAGCAGATGACCAATTTTTCATCTTCAGGTTTCATACGAAATAATCATCAACCTCACCTTATCTTTCAGAAGATTCGAGCTGGAGTAGACTATACTCATAACTGCAAGCTCAAGACCACGTGCCAATAAAACACACCTTCATGTTTAAACACTGTCATTGAGCGAAGAGGCTTTACAAGGCCCGAAACCATGCAAGACATGGCTATATGCGGGATAGCGAAGACAGAGCGAGGCTTCCTCCCACATAAGAACCACCGAAGAACACAGGCTCACACTAACCAGCCAGCTTGCGTTTACGAAGGAGCTCACACAAGAAGTCAGAGAATAGCGTACCAAACAATAATTATTATGTATGCGATCGAAGTGATGTATTTGTCTGAAGCAGCGATCCACTCATATATCGTATTAATATGTTTTGGTTCATTTCCCATTCCCTTCATTCGGGAAGAATAGAGTAGTCAAACAAAATTTTGAAATAATTTTTTGGGCAACCTATGGTTTAATGGAATTTTTATCCCTATCGAACGAGAGTTTTTTTAATACAAATTTATATACCCTCCGGGTATCCTGACAATACTTTGACAATATGACCTCTATGACGAATGATGGTCTCAAAGATAGCAGTGTTGTAAATGCTATTATTCGCTAGTATTTGAACCTTGAACATAAAGCACTTTACACTTGATAACACATGATAACTTGTACCGTTCTCGGAAATATACTTTCAAGTTTTAGACTCAGAATGCGTACTCCCATTAACACATATTACCAGCTGTTTGTGTCTTCTTCGTCAGGCAGCGTCAAGAAGTCGCGCGACCGGACGAGGGAGAACTCGCTGAACCTGATGACGGCCAGCGGGAAGGACTCCACCTCCACGTGTGCTCTCACGAACGGCAACGCGGAGACGCCTCCCACCCCTCTCTCGCTCCTGAACAGCACCGAAGCAGCGGAGGAATACTCCATGTACGTCATGCCGAACCCAATCCTCATCTCCAGCGGACTGCAGGCCAATTACAACGGACTCCCGCTGTCAAACTCGGACCTGAAGCACA